TCTTTGTGCTTGACTTCAGTGCCATCTTTGATGGTGTTCGTTCTTAAAGGTGTTGCTTCCGCTCACATTTCCTTAATGGTCAGACTCTGGGACATGAACAAACCCAACCCTGAAAACGTTTACTTCTCTCTGCATTACGAGGCTTATTTACATCCAGAGTTATAAAGAGATGGTGGAGAGGTGGGGCCCCTACTGATTCATTTCCTTAGCAGGGTCAGACCTAGTACAGAACGGCTACTGCGTAGTTGTCATTCATGTGTGATTAAGTTCATTCAGCTTATTACAGCATTTCAAGACCAGGATGATAAACCTGCCTCCCTATAATCACAGAATACCGATGGTTTGAACTATTTGGGCTTTTTATTCTGTTTATCTCCAGCATCTAACATGAATTCTTGCACATTGTTTGTCTTTTAAATGAACATTTTCTAAACAGTTATGTTTAATTGAACTATGGTTTGGTAAGAGAATATGAAAAATAAAGACTTTCAAATGGTGTGTGGTGTATGTGAGAAAGAGGAGCAGGAAGAGGATGATAAAGCAAATGAAGCAAAATGTAAGCAGTTGATGAGTCTGGGCAAATGCTGTAAGGGAGTTGCTTACTCTTCTTGCAACTCTTCTGAAGTTTGAAATTACATCAAAATAAAAATTATTTACAAAAGTAAAATACAAAATAAATAAAGGAACATCTAAGTGGTTCTGAAAAATCAAAACAAAACAAAACAAAAACCCCACACCAAACAACTTGAAAAATTTTCACCCTCTATCACAGTGGTTCTCAACCTTGGCTGCACATTAGAATCACCTGGAAATCTTTTTAAAATCCTGATTTCTGGGCCTCATCCTCCAGGAATTCTGTTTTTTTGTTATGGGGTGGGGCCACAACATTAGTAACAAAGAAACAAAGTTTCCGGAAGATGAGGCCCAGAAATTAGGATTTTGAAAAGATTCCCAGGTGATTCTAATGTGCAGCCAAGGTTGAGAACCACTGCTCTATCATAACCCCATTTGTAAACCTGATTTGTGTCCCTCTTTCACATGATTAACCTTAAAAGCCAACACCTGGAAATGAAATTAATGGAATTTTTCTATCAGATTTAATTCACGCATGGTTTCATGTGTAGCCTAAAAGGAGGTATTTTGGCAGACCAAACAGTCACGTTTACGTGTCATTAGGAAGAGCAAATACCATATAGTCATTTACATGCCTTCGTAAGGGATATTTGTGAGATATTTTTATTATTTTAACCTTTTGCAAGGGCAAGAACATGCTCAGCAGTCAACTGCAGTTGTATGATGTGCCAGGAGACAGTGGTAGGCTTAAGAATATATTCTGGGTCTGCTGACCAATACAGGTCATTTTAAAAAAGAAAAAAAGTAAGAATCCAAAATCAAGTTTTTTTGTTAGTAAAGAAAAACAGTAGCCAGTGGTAAAGCATCTTTTACCTCAACCTGGTAGGTGGAGGTCATGCTATATCACTTTTATTTTTTTTATTTTTAAAAAAAAATTTTTTTTTATTTCAGAATAAATAAGAGGGAGAGAGAGATAGGAACATCAATGATGAGAGAGAACCATTGATCCACTGCCTCCTGCACGCTCCCGAAGCCCTGGCATGTGCCCTGACTAGGAATTGAACTGTGACTTCCTGGTTCATAGGTCACTGCTCAACCACTGAGTCACGCCAGGTGGGCCTTTCATTTTTCTAATGTTTATTTTTTGGTCAGCTCTGAGAACTTTCTAATAAATGTAGTGATTTGTTATTTTGTGTAATTATCTGCTGACACAAAGGAAAAAGAAAGAGGCTTTCTCCAAAGAATCAACTCTGAAGCAACAATGCATAAGGCCATTGAATTTTTATAATCCTTTTAACTACCTTCTCCTCGAAGTCCCTCTCTTGGCAGCGTGGACGGTCTCCCGTCCTTTTGGGTGCCTGCAGTGCAGTCGCGTGGCTGGTTCACCAAAGGAAAGGGAGCTGGGGCAACAGCTCCACCTTCGGGAGGCAGTGTGGGGCTGAGGGCTTTGAGATCACAGGCCCGGTTCTAAGGGTGCTGCCAATGACCTTACTGACCTTGGACAGTTGACCTGTGGCAAATCACTCTGAGGCCGGCTCCTCCTCTGTTAACAAGATACACCCTGATTGGGTTGCTTGATGTGGCGATTAAATGCCATAACACTAACAGGCAAGGCCGAGAAAACTGTGTTAGCTGTCAGAGCGCCAACAAATGAAACCAAAAGCCGTGCCTGTGATACAGTGACTGTCACTCAGGTCCCTTCAGTTGGTCTCTCCAGGCAGTCGAGGAATGCAGTGCTCGGTGTGGGTTGTGGAAAGGCCGGGAGGGTGTGTACGAGTTGCAGGCCTGAGATGTGGCGGCACATCCAGATGATTGGGAGGTGGGGGGTTGTGGCCTGCAGTGCAGAAGTTGATTTACCTTGATTAGGATAGACATTTATGTACCTTCGCCACAAAAGGCTAATCAAGGAACACAGCCCTCAAAGGAACTCAGATCCTTGGCAATCTGCACCTCTGCGTTACCTTAGAAAATCCGTGGTTTATCTTCATTTGTGGTGTTTTCTCTTGTCTTAGAAGATTATGACACTTAATTTTTAGGTTTTATTTAATATTTATGTTCTTTGTAAGTTTGTGCAGAGTAGATACCTTAGTGTCTTCCTCCTAGGCCAGATGTGTCAAGGGACAAATAGGTATATTTCATGATTCAGGTGAAATTGCATTGCAGATACCCCTTCTCCTGGGGAGGTGTTTGAGTTACTAATTAAATTCTTAACCTCTAGTTTGGGACATATGGAAGCTTTTGTTTATTAGTGGTGGGGGGGGGGGTGTGTGTGTTTAAACGAAAGCAAAAGACTAAATCCAAGAAATGTTCTGTCATTAACACATTCTTTTTTATTGAGGAGTAAGTGCAATGCCCCCGTGTTTAGAAAGCCTTTCCTAAGTCAAGACATGAATGAGTTGCACCTGTGTGAAATGATGACTGTTTAAGAGGTCATAACCTCCCGGTGGTGGTGTAGGAAATGAGGTCATCTTTACTTTTTGTTCAGTGTGAATGAAAGTTAAATTTATTAGTTGGAATAATATCTACTGTGTGGCTTTGCTCCTGCTGCTGGGAAAGATCACAGCCATTGGGTGTTTGGCCTTCCATTTGTGTCCTTTGACGTATAAAAGAAAAGCCATACGTTTTCATAATCATAGGTTTTAGTAGGTAACCTTTTCTAACATGGTAAGTATTTCGAGTTGCGTTGAGATAATCACTGATAAATGACTCAGTTTCAGTCTGGAAGTGTTGAGGTTTTTCCTCCCTGTTTAAGCAAACAAGGGAATTTTTTAAGGCAGAATAATTTTTGGAAGTCTGATATAGCAGGCACATAGTCTAGACCAGTAGTCGGCAAACTGCTGCTCGCGAGCCACATGCTGCTCTTTGGCCCCTTGAGTGTGGCCACAAAGTTTCAATCGCACTGTACGTGGTATTTTGTGGAAGAGCCACACTCAAGGGGCCGCAGTTTGCAGACCACTTTGTTGTGGCCCCACCCCATAACAAAGAAACAGAATTTCCTGAGGATGAGGCCCAGAAATCAGGATTTTTAAAAGATTCCCAGGTGATTCCAATGTGCAGCCAAGGTTGAAAACCACTGGTCTAGACCAGGGGTGGGCAAACTTTTTGACTCGAGGGCCACAATGGGTTCTTAAACTGGACTGGAGGGCCGGAACAAAAGCATGGATGGAGTGTTTGTGTGAACTAATATAAATTCAAAGTAAACATCATTACATAAAAGGGTACAGTCTTTTTTTTCAATAGTTTTATTCATTTCAAATGTGCTGTAGTTTGCCCACGGCTGGTCTAGACTCTGGCTTTTATTTTAGCTATTTGACCTTGGGCAAGTCACTTAACTTCCTTGAGCCTTGTTTTCTCTAAACTTGGGTTGGGCTAATTATCTAATTTTTTTTTTATAGAGGGAAAGGGGCAGTTATAAAAAGCTTCATCTGATTCTGAAAATCTTGTATCTTTGTTTCTTCTTGGGGCCTTGGGATAAGGAATGATTTTTTAAAATCAGAAAAAAAACAACTTATAAGGAACATACATGGTGATGACAGAGTTCCCTGGGGTGTAGGCAGGGACTGTCACAGAGACACCTTTATCGCCCTTTATCTGAGGGGACTACCTTCAGACCTGGACCTCCATCTTACTTTGCCCAAAGGCAGGCTGTAGCATATCACACATAGTAGGCGCTGCATAACGTTTCAGTGGATGCCTGCTAATAATGCAGCTCAACACTAATAGTCAGCACACTGGGTTTTATTTTAACCTTGCGCTTGGATTCAATTATTTTTTGTTGAAGGAACTCATTAATGAATGTCTGGCTGACTGCAGCCCATAGATAGCAAGGGCTTGCAGATTTAACATGCTATATAAGGATTTAACTGTGCTATTTCTACCCAATGACTAAACTAAGTTTAGTGTCTCTCAGAACTTTATTAGAAACCTGAAACCTAAGCAATTTGGCCCAGTGGACCCACACCACAGGCAGCAGTGCCTGGGTGGGGAAAATCAATGAGGAAATGTGGAGAGTGGAATGGGGTCTGGAGCCATTTTTCATGGCACATAGTGGGCAAGGTGGGAAGAGGCACAGTCCCCACACTTCTTTTTTCAACTCATGGGACTTCACAGGGATGTTATTTGTGGGAAGTTTAATCTGATGTGTCAGGCAAGGCAATTTTCCTAAACCTTTCCAATGAATAATTGTGTGGAGACGCACCTTCGAAGGACCACTGGGACTAAAGTAATTTTGGTGGCATCTTCTGAAATGCGGAGCTGGGAGGGGGCTATTTCTGCATTATGGAGTCCTGATTTTAAGTGTCGGTGGGCCTGGGGGCGGTGAACTAGTAAATTGGGTGTTTTCTGAGAGCCCAGCTATATGTACACAAGCATCCAATAAGGGCCATGCCTGCAGGTTTTCAATTTGCTTTTTCTTATATTGTCCACAGCAGCCATTGTTTGATGTCCTGTGACTGAGAAAACCAGCCTCTGAACGTTGCTATGCCTTTGGAGATGGAGCCCAAAATGAGCAAACTCGCCTTTGGGTGCCAGCGAAGTTCCACGTCAGATGATGACTCTGGCTGTGCGCTGGAGGAGTATGCCTGGGTGCCCCCCGGACTTCGACCAGAGCAGGTGGGAACCTGGTCGTCCCATGTGGTGTTTTTCAATGAGTTCAGATTTTTAAAGAATTTTTAACAATTTATAGAACATCTCTGCCACACTGACACGCTATACCCTCCTCAGTCCTCTCTCTCCTTTGGATGGTTTTACAGTTTTGCTTTTCAAGGTCATACTTGGTTTCTCAGTGAAAGTTTTCTATTCCTCTTGGGCTCTTGGGTCCAGAAGCCCTAGGAGGATGCTCTGATGACCGGAACCCAGAGCACTGCACGTGCGTTTGTTATGTGGGTTTCTGATGAGCCCCTTTGCAGAGAATGAGAGGAATTTAACCTTTTGAAAAACTTCAGTAGCAACAAAAAGGTAATAAAAGAGGCAAGTTTCCATGCCAGCTCTCAGCAGAGCTTTTGCTTTGGAAGAGAGAAAATGCAGAGCTGGGAGAAACCATCTGAAGTGTCATTGGGTTGACCTTTGATAACCTTGCACATAAAAGAATCTGTCACCACTCAGTGTGGATGGAACCCTAATATCGAAGAGCTAATTTGGGGCTTTGTCTGGATTGTTATTTTAAGGAAGACGAGAACATTCTGTATGCCTATTTTTATTTTCCCAATGTCCATATAATGATGAACTTGTTAAAAATTGCAGGTGATAAATATTATCATGTGGGCTGAGGCATAGTTTGAAATAAAAGGTGCCGACTGGGTGTGCAGTAGCATAAAGAACCCCTGCCCTGGCCAGTTTGGCTCAGTGGATAGAGCGTCAGCCTGCGGACTGAAGGGTCCCAGGTTCCGACCAAAGGCATATGCCTGGGTTGTGGGCTCGATCCCCAGCAGGGGATGTGCAGGAGGCAGCTGATCAATGATTCTCTCTCACCATTGATGTTTCTATCTCTCTCCCTTCCTCTCTGAAATCAACAAAAAAATATATTAAAAAACAAAACAAAAAAAGAACCCCTTCTAGAAGCTTAGAGTGGGTAGGTTTTGTGAGATACTAAGGCATTGAAGCAGGGCAGGCCCCCAATTCCCCAATCTCCTGTCTTTCTTTCTTGAATCCCTTCTTTCTCAGCACCGTGGTACTCATGAAGGGATGCTCCTTTAAATAAAACAGAAAAAAATGGAGTTCTCCTTTCCAAATGAACCAGGTCTAGCTCAGTATGGCTCCCCTCCAGTGTCTTTGGGGAAACTGACTCCGGTATTTAGAAAATAACACCCATGGAAGCAAAGAAAGCCGATGCTTGGAGAGAACCTGATAAGGAGAGTTTACAGAGGGTAACAAAACAGCTTTTTGTCTTTGTAACATGTAAAATTCAGAGATCAAATTCAGTGTGCTTGTGTGCTGGCGGGGTTTGGGACAGTGTCACGCAGCCTGTGTGGCCATTTGTAGCATTCACCCAGGACTCTCTCGCTGACCCTGGGGAATTGTGGCATTAAATGTGCATATTTTATGGCGTGTAATTTATGATGGCCCTAATTGTCACTGCAAATTGCATTCCTGAAGAAGAGTTAGCAGCGGCTGGGTGCGAGTTGGCTCAGCTGGTCTTCTCATTAGCACCAGAGGCCAAACCTTGCCCCTGCAGGGACAAGTAACTTTTTAAGATGGAGTGAGCTAAGACACTCACCTTCTCGGTCTTTCTCTCCCTCTCTTCCTCAGATCCAGCTCTATTTTGCTTGCTTACCAGAGGAAAAGGTTCCATATGTTAACAGCCCTGGAGAGAAACATCGAATTAAACAGCTTTTGTACCAGTTGCCACCACATGATAATGAGGTAAAATAACAGGAAGAAGGCTAAGAAAATAAACACGAAGCATTGAGATGTCCCTCATAAACCCCAGCTCCTCCCATCACTTGCCTTTCTTTAGTTAAAATGTGGCCGGAGAATACAGCTTTCCATTCTTTCAGCGAGAAAAGGGTGTCAGTGCAGTCAACACAAGTTGGTTTTTATAGTGTTTGCAGCCACCCACCGACGCCCAGGGCCCTGCAGGTGTCTGAGATCGCCCTGCCCCTTCATCCAGGCTCAATGCCTCAAGGTAGTTCAGGCCCAGGAGTTGACTTGAGTGCCTGCAGAAGGGAGAGCAAACGTGGCAATTAAGTTTAAACCTTTTGTAGAAAGGTTAATATGTTACATTGTTTTAGAGTCTCTGCTGACAAGAGTTGAAATTAAACATTTCATATTTTAAAAAAAGAGTGTTCTTTTACATTGCTTTTCCCTTTTGCAGTCGGCCAATATTCCACTGTTCACATCTAAGCAAAATAAAGAGCGGGCCCAGGTGTCTGTGCATCGATAAGTGGGAGGCTCTTGATGGATGGGAGGGAAAAACAAGTGGCAAGAGGAGTGGAGCAGATGATCTCATTCCTGGAGGGAAAGGGGGAGCAAACCAAGACTGTACACTTGTTTGTATACATCCAGGCACGGTACGGCAGGACATGCGCTCCGTTAAGTGGTTACCTGTGGGGCCTGTGGGAAGGGGTGGTGGTGTGAAAGGAATTTTTTTCTTAAGCTTTTTATTTTAAAGTCATTTTAGATTGACAGAAGAGTTGGAGGTGTTAGAGGTCCTTAGACCCTTCTCCCAGCTTTCCCTGTTGTTAGTATCTTCCACAGCATTATGTGCATTGAAACTGAGACGCTAATATTGCTGTTATACCATCAACCAAACTGTACACTTTATTTAGATTTCTAGTTTTGCTACTAATGTGTCTTTTCTATTCTAAGATCCAATCCAGAGTACCTCATTGCATATATATATATATATATATATATATATATATATATATATATATTTTTTCCCCCCTGAGTCTCCTTCACTCAGTGACAGTGAATATTCAGTTTTTTCTTCATACATTTGTTTGGGGGTTTTTTTAAAGTAGGCTGTAGTTTTTTTAAGAGGCTGTAGTTTTGAGTCAATGAAAGGTCAGGTGTTATTTCTAAACTGGCGATGCACGGGGGCAGGCCATTAAGTGAGCCCTTCGTTTCTGGAAATGGAGAACTGGTGAGGGGGACGCGCTCCAGTGTGGTGCTTCTGTGTTCCTTCCGCGAAGGTGCGGTATTGCCAGTCTCTGAGCGAAGAGGAGAAGAAAGAACTGCAAGTGTTCAGTGCTCAGCGGAAGAAGGAAGCACTGGGAAGAGGCACCATCAAACTTCTGTCCAGAGCCGTGATGCACGCCGTGTGCGAGCAGGTAGCCCTTTCTAGAATGAGCGGCCTGTGGTGGTGATGTGGATGGAGTGAGCTGGGGGTGGGAGGGTGACAGGGCTAGCACACGTGTGGGCCCCAAAGGCCTCCAAAAACTAAGCCAAAGATAGGCAGCCTAGCTCTTTATCAAATGGGGGTTCGTGTTTATAACTGGCTCACTGCCGTGTATGACGGGGAGTCGGTCTGCCCTTAGGCAAACATCAGGTGACCTCCTGCTCCCCTTAGGGCCCCGGCAGGTTGGGAGGTGCTAGGATACACCTCGTGTTCACAAAAGCCAGACATAATGAAGACCTTCAGATCCTGACTGGCCACTCTCAGCGTCAGAAACGCATCCAGCAGGAGGCTGGCTCCGGAAAACCACCCTTAATGTGCGTTGGCCGAAACCCTTCTTAGGAACAGCCGAGTGGGGAAGTCTGGGAGGCCTGCTCATTTCAGCTGAGAATCGCACATAATCCAGCATTAAGGAGCTACTTAATCACTCGCAGGGGTGGGAGAAAAATAAAAGGCTTTCCTGACAAATTTGGGATTTAGTGGCAAGTGGAGAGGCTGAGAATCCCGTCATCGCAGGAGGATCGTTCTTTTCTGCTTTCAGTGCGGGTTGAAGATCAACGGCGGCGAGATTGCGGTGTTCGCCTCGAGGGCGGGCCCCGGAGTGTGCTGGCACCCGTCCTGTTTTGTCTGCTTCACGTGTAACGAGCTGCTGGTGGACCTCATCTATTTTTATCAGGACGGAAAAATTCACTGTGGCAGGCACCACGCTGAACTGCTCAAGCCACGGTGCTCGGCATGTGACGAGGTAAAAAAGTTCACCCCTTCACACTGGGAAAAATAAGCTCCCAGTCGGCCAATATTCCACTGTTCACATCTAAGCAAAATAAAGAGCGGGCCCAGGTGTCTGTGCATCGATAAGTGGGAGGCTCTTGATGGATGGGAGGGAAAAACAAGTGGCAAGAGGAGTGGAGCAGATGATCTCATTCCTGGAGGGAAAGGGGGAGCAAACCAAGACTGTACACTTGTTTGTATACATCCAGGCACGGTACGGCAGGACATGCGCTCCGTTAAGTGGTTACCTGTGGGGCCTGTGGGAAGGGGTGGTGGTGTGAAAGGAATTTTTTTCTTAAGCTTTTTATTTTAAAGTCATTTTAGATTGACAGAAGAGTTGGAGGTGTTAGAGGTCCTTAGACCCTTCTCCCAGCTTTCCCTGTTGTTAGTATCTTCCACAGCATTATGTGCATTGAAACTGAGAAGCTAATATTGCTGTTATACCATCAACCAAACTGTACACTTTATTTAGATTTCTAGTTTTGCTACTAATGTGTCTTTTCTATTCTAAGATCCAATCCAGAGTACCTCATTTAATATATATATATATATATATATATATATATATATATATATATATATTTTTTCCCCCCTGAGTCTCCTTCACTCAGTGACAGTGAATATTCAGTTTTTTCTTCATACATTTGTTTGGGGGTTTTTTTTAAGTTGTTTTTTTTTTATCAATAAAAAAATGATATTTGAAAGTTTTTTTTGAAACCGAAAATGAAAAGAACGGAGTCTTTAGTCTGCCGATGGCCACCAGGTCAAGCGAAGCCGCAGCTATGCAGTGTAGCTCACACAGCCCAGCGTCTGGATTGCTGTAAATGTTGACTCCACAGACATTTTTATGAGTTTTCTATTAAAACACAGACCACTGAGTCATTTCAATGTGAATGTCTTCTTTGCCAGATTATGCCGATAAAATGCGATTGGGGAGCAAAATAATGGCCAAATTAATGGTCTCCAATGAAGAAATCTGTTTTATTTTTCAATTATGGTTGACAGTCACTATTACATTGGTTTCAGGTGGACAGCATGGGGGTTGGACATTTATAAAGTTTGAACAAGCACTTAGGTTCTCTCTGTTCACATTTTCAATGACTGCTCTTGTTTTATAGCTAAAGCGAGATAGAGTAAAGCTTGGGGCTGTAAGAAACAAGGTTAGCCATCGAAGCGACGTGGCCTTGGAAACAGCTCACAGTGATTTTCAGTCATCCTCTGCTTTCACATTCCTCTTACAGATAATTTTTGCGGATGAGTGCACGGAAGCAGAGGGTCGCCACTGGCACATGAAGCACTTCTGCTGCCTTGAGTGTGAGACGGTCCTGGGAGGGCAGAGGTACATCATGAAGGACGGCCGCCCGTTCTGCTGTGGCTGCTTCGAGTCTCTGTATGCGGAGTACTGCGAGACCTGCGGCGAGCACATCGGTGAGTCACAGCCCCGCCTGTCTGCTCAGGCTCCTTCCCATCAGCCTTTAGGATGCTCCACAGTCTGTTTTGTTTTGTTTTTAAAATTGAGGTATAATTTACATACAGTGAAATGTACAGATCTTAAATGTTTCAGTTTTATGAGTTTTGACAAATGAATATAGAATCCATTCTCGTTTGAGGGATTTGCCTTCTACAAAGTTGCCTGACTTACGGAATGTCGAGCATTGCTCCTGGGGGAAATACAGGGATAGGTTCCTGCCCGCCCCTAGTCACATAGATTGTTGGCTCACTAACATTGAACTTGCAGCCAGCAGCACTGTACCGTGTGACTGACTGAAGCTTATCTAACACACGTATTTTTTTCTGTAGGGCAGATCACAGCCTTCTTGTACTTAGGATCACTAGACAGCATTTCAGCACTATGCTTGAGGGCCTTTTAAATAGCAAAAGCACCAAAAAAGTACAAAAATCTAAAGAAAACATGGTATAAGTCGACCACGAATATGCCACTTGTTGAAAGCATAAGAGCAGAGACAAAGGCGGAGGGTCACCTTGTTTGACCTCACCTGGGAGCATATATGTTGGTCAACTCAAACTTTTCACCCCTCTGCACATGTCCGAAAATGACCTTGAAAACTGCAAGTATTGATTTGGGGGTTACAAATGAATTTTAGCAGGTAGGCAATTCGCAGATACAGACTTTGTGTGACCCACAACCCTGTCAAGAAGCAGAACATTCCCATCACCCCTCTTTCCATCTCTTCCTTCTCCCTTTGTCTCAAGGTTGAACTATCGCCTGTTGTTCTATCCTTTTTAAAAACAGGTGTGGACCACGCCCAGATGACCTATGACGGGCAGCACTGGCACGCGACAGAAGCCTGCTTCTCCTGTGCCCAGTGCAAAGCCTCTCTGCTGGGGTGTCCCTTCCTCCCCAAACAAGGTCAGATCTATTGCTCAAAAACGTGCAGCCTCGGCGAAGACGTCCACGCCTCCGATTCCTCCGACTCTGCGTTTCAGTCCGCCCGGTCGAGAGACTCCAGAAGAAGTGTCCGGATGGGCAAAAGCAGCCGGTCAGCGGACCAGTGCAGACAGTCTCTCCTCTTGTCCCCTGCTCTCAACTACAAGTTCCCTGGCCTCTCCGGCAATGCCGACGACACCCTTTCCCGGAAGCTGGATGACCTGAGTCTGTCCAGGCAGGGAGCAGGTTTTGTCAATGAAGACTTTTGGAAAGGCAGAGTCGAGCACGAAACCCCAGAAGACCCCGAAGAATGGGCCGAGCATGAAGATTATATGACGCAGCTCCTCCTCAAGTTTGGTGATAAAAGCCTCTTTCAGCAGCAGCCCAACGAGATCGATATTCGAGCCAGTGAGCATTGGATATCTGATAACATGGTTAAAAATAAGGCCGAGTTAAAGCAAAATAACCAGAGCCTCGCGAGTAAAAAATACCAATCTGATATGTATTGGGCACAGTCCCAAGATGGCCTGGGAGATTCTGCGTACGGCAGCCACCCAGGCCCGGCAAGCAGCAGAAGGCTCCAGGAGCTGGATCTGGACCATGGGGCCTCGGGATACAATCACGATCAAGCACAATGGTATGAAGATTCCCTGGAGTGCTTGTCAGACTTGAAACCGGAGCAGAGCGTCCGGGATTCTATGGATTCTTTGGCTTTGTCTAACATCACAGGTACGTAATCTAGGGATTATGCGGTGTTTGGAAAAAGAGCCACTAAAAAGTCTGTTGTGAAAATTTACCGTTCAGCGCCAGGAGGGGCTACGGTAATTAAAACTGGAGACCAAGGGAAGGAAGGAGTCTCATCCAAGGAGTCTCATCCAATGCCAAACACCGTATAGCAAAACAAACATGCAAATGTGTGTGCGTATATGTACACACACACACACACACACACACATATGTATATTCATACATATTCTTAATAGATATATACTTTTTCTTTAATATATATATTTTATTGATTTCAGAGAGGAAGGGAGAGGGAGAGAGAAATAGAAACATCAGTGATGAGAGAGAATCATTGATTAGCTACTTCCTGCACGTCCCCACTGGGGATTGAGCCTGCAAACCCAGGCATGGGCTCTGACCAGAAATTGAATGGTGACCTGATTCATAGGTCAGCGCTCAACCACTGACCCACACTGGCCAGGTTCATTACACTTATTTTAAAGAGGAAGAAACTGACTTACTTCGATAATGGAGTCTGTATCTGTGTCTGAAAGATACTATACTCTTTGGATTGTACTGTATAAAATTCAAGTTATTAAAATCAGTCTGCCACTTTATAAGCTCATAACATTCTTTGTATTTCCCTGCATTGCCCTGTGGCAACAGATAGCTCAAAAATAGCTGAATAGTTTTTAACCCAGAATATAAAATAATTTCACTGTAATGTTTTCAAAGCACATTCCTGTCAGTTATCCATATTGTATCCTTAAAATGACCTTGAGCTGTAGAGAGTGGATATTATTGCATTTTCTAAATGAAGAACTTGAATTACCAGAGGCTAAATGCCTAACTGCACAGAGGTTTTTAAAGGCAAGATCAAGCCTGGAACCCAGATTCCCTCCTGTATCTCATATTTGCAATAATTGTCTTTGGATGCAAAAATGTTACCTGGCTAATTATAGTCAGACAAATGACATCCAGTCCTTTCATAAAGGTGACATTTCCATAATGTAGACAGGAAAGGCTTTAGCGGCTGCCCGCCGCCAGGAATGCCCTGTGCCAGGTGCTGCAGCGGCAAGGAGGCGTGAGCCAGCGACCCCCCAGGTTTCTGTTGGACTTGTCAAAGGGGAGTTGAGGAGCGGTGGATGAGACTAAATTATGAAGCATCTCCTGTTTTGTTTTTAAAATTTTTTAAGATTTTTAAATTAATTTTTAGGGAGCAGGAGAGAGAGAGAAAAACATCAGTGTTCTCACACTGACTGGCTGCCAACCGCATGCCCCCTACCGGGGATCAAACCTGCAACTGGGGCATGTGCCCTTTTGGTGCACAGACGACATTCCAATCAACAACCACACTGGCCAGGATTAGCATCTCCTGTGTTTTAGGTCTTATATTAGGAGTTTAACGTTTATCAAAAAATAGACATCATTTGGTACACACATAAAGTGTTAGGGCTAGACATTCCTTAACAATACAGACTGAATTAGGCTCCCTTTAGAAAGCAGGAAGTTATGTAGTAGCTACTAGACACCAGGCCACACCTGTCCTTGCTGTCACTTCCTGTCTGCTGGGTATTCATTTATCTTTACTTGCCTGGGCCCTCTTAAAAAGGGGGAACAGTATCAGTTTTGGGAAAAGTTTCAAAGTAAGACTAATCTGGAGGTGACATGTTATTTCCTGGGTTGAAGGGGAAGAAGAATGGATGGCAGTCTAGGATAGGGGATGGCAAACTTCTGTGAAGGGCTAGATAGACCTTCTGGGCCACACAGCCTCTGTTGCACATAGTCAGCACTGCCATTGTGGAAAGCAACTGTAGATAATACGTAAATGAGTAGGTGTGGCTGTGTTCCAATGAAACTCTATCCACAAATAGGCTGTGGGCCGGATGTGGCCCTTGGGCTGTGGCTTGCTGACCACAGTCTCGGTATGCAATGAAGAAAATGAGTGAGGGTGTAAGAGGAGGACAGTAACAGTGGCCATGTGGATGTAAAGGAAGGGACTGATGGAGATGCTCAGGTGGAGCAATCTGGCTTTAATGGATTGAGAGGCAGAATTCCTCCATGTCATGTGAATAAAGTACAGTGGGGCCTGGACTTACGAGTGTCCCAACTAACGAGTTTTTCGAGATACGAGCCGTCTCTCGGCCGACTTTTTGCTTTGAGTTGCGAGCTAAAATTCAGGTTACGAGCCAACTTCAGATACCCCACCACTAGTTGGCGCGGCGAACGTCACAGTGAACGCCACAACATCAGCCCAGCATCACGTGTCTCACTCGTTCACTTTAATGATTTGACATACAAGTAATTTGAGTTACGAGCTCCATCACGGAACGAATTAAACTCGTAAGTCAAGGCCCCACTGTAATGAGATTTTTTTAAAATAAATTTTTATTGATTTCAGAGAGGAAAGGAGAGGGGGAGAGAGAGAGAGAGAGAAAGAGAGAGAGAGAGAGAGAAATATCAATGATGAGAGAGAATCATTGATCAGCTACTGCACGCCCCACACTGGGGATCAAGCCCACAACCCTGGCATGTGCCCTTGACTGGAATCGAACCTGGGACCCTTCAGTCCGCAGGCCAACACTCTATCCACTGAGCCAGACCAGCTAGGGCTAATCATGAGATTTTTATGAAGAGCTTTTACATTGTTGCTATTCATGCCATGTTCTGTAACTAGTGTTTGGCTCTAAAACAACTGGACTCCTAAGAAAGGCTGTGCCCCTCGGGTCAGTAATAAAATTCATACCTCCTGTCTTTATATGCATGTTGCGTTTACTTGGTGGGTGGTAATCAAATATTGAAATTGAGGAGAATTTTCTTTGAAATGCTTCCTTTCAGTAGCTTGTTTGTAATAATTGTCAGACTATTAGGGTCACTGAGACTTACACCTTGTCTTGGTTTTTCTCGTAGGGGCTTCGGTGGATGGAGAAAGTAAGCCAAGGCCATCCTTATATTCTCTGCAGAACTTTGAGGAGATAGAGGCAGAAGATTGTGAGAAGATGAGCAACATGGGGACTCTGAACTCTTCCATGCTGCACCGGAGCGCCGAGTCCTTAAAGAGCCTCGGTTCAGAGCTGTGCCCAGAGAAAATCATGCCGGAGGAGAAACCAGTCCACCTGCCAGTGCTCCGAAGATCCAAGTCCCAGTCCAGGCCCCAGCAGGTCAAGTTCTCAGATGATGTCATCGACAACGGGAGCTATGACAACCTGGAGATCCGGCAGCCCCCGATGAGCGAGAGGACGCGGAGGCGGGTGTACCACTTCGAGGAGAGAGGGTCCCGGCCGCACCACCACCGCCGCCGGAGGAGCAGGAAGTCCCGCTCCGACAACGCCCTCAACCTGGTCACGGAGAGGAAGTACCCTCCCAAGGACAGGCTGCGGCTGTACACGCCCGACAACTACGAGAAGTTCATCCAGAATAAGAGCGCCCGGGAGATCCAGGCGTACATCCAGAACGCCGACCTCTACGGGCGCTATGCCCACGCCACCTCCGACTACGCGCTGCAGAGCCCGCAGGTGCCCCGCTTCCTGGGGCTCTACGGGGAGGACGACGACTCCTGGTGCTCCTCCTCCTCCTCCTCCTCCGACTCGGAAGAAGAAGGCTATTTTCTTGGACAACCGATCCCCCAGCCCCGGCCACAGAGGTACGCCTACTACACAGACGACCTTTCCAGCCCCACGTCTGCACTCCCCACGCCTCAGTTTGGTCCAGGCATGACTAAACCCAAGAAGAAAAAGGGACACAAGGGCAAAAACTGTATTATTTCTTAACCCAGTAGCTGTGGAGGTCCTGTCTCAACTTAGCCATTAACCCTCTTGACTCATATCCTTTTTCTTTCGTAGGAAAGTTGCTAAAATAGTTTAAAGTGCTTTGCCCATGTACATGAGCCCCCCCGACTGTTGTTTACAGTGTCAGATGAACACTCAGAAGGTGTGATTTCTCCCATTTACCCTCCTCGGACGGTGCCAGTCAGGTACATTAGGGTGTTGCATAGCAGCTTTGGTTTCCAGTCTGCAAGAGAATCTTCTAGAAACTCTCATAAGGTGATTGGACGGGGGTACTGATTTTAGACGACGGAGAACTTCAGCCGCCTTTGTAAAGCAATAGTGTTTGTCGTTGTCCACGCCAGGTTGGCCCAGGCCTGATCGGTCTGTCTTGTGCGGCATGCACGTAGTCACACTGACCCAGCCAACACTGTGCGCCCCATCCCACGAGGCCACCTCGTCCCCTTGCAATCTTCTTTAGCCAGGTAAACTTTGTATTATTGTATTAGCTCCAGCTACAGATTGAAACACAAAACAAAAAAACTTTGCTATTTATAATGTAGTATTTCATAGACTTAAGTGTATTCCTAATTTAACGGTGCAAATATTAATGTACATAATGTACAGTTCAGATTTTAAAGCTGATATTTTTATATCCCTGAATTGCAAGATGTTTGTTACACTGCAGTGCTAGATTTGTTAGGGAACCAGAAACAGCATTTATGGATGAAATGATTGCTTGTATTTTAGTCAGGGTTTATAAGTCTAGATGGTCAAATTTATATTGCCTAGTGATGGAGAGTTCAATTTTTTTGACTTTTTCCCCCCAATATTAAAAAGGCTCTGTATGCATGGTGGGGCTGTGTAAATAGTCTTTAAAACTATGGCCCTATTAATCTTCCGAATGTTATTTATGGGTCAAGTAATGTAAACTGTATAAATGTAAAAACAAACAAAAACCCCATATAGACCCCTGGAATATATGGTAAAAACAAGTAGAAACTTTGGGTGGATGTTTTTTTTCCCCACTTGGGGATGGTGGGGGGGGGGGCGGGGGGGAGGGAGGAGGTCCCATTTTTAGCAAGGTGGTGATTATCTCATGGGAAGAGACCAAAACTACAAGGATCTGCTTTTTTGTGGCAGAGGACTTTGTAGATTTATTATTTGAAGAGAGGTTATTCCTTTTCATCCCTCCCTTCCAGCTAATTTGTTAGCTTTTAGCAGCAATTTTGAAAACCGGGCCTTCTGATTATGTTTTTCTTTTAAAATCTTTAAATTAGAGGATGCTGTACCACTGACTATTTCAACTTAATAGGAGGTTCTATTTCAAGGGAAAATTATCTTGGACTTGAACTAATGAGCTGATATTTTGGTATGTGCCATTCTTGCACATGCGCTGCAGTCCTAGCTAAGGTCCCAGTGGTATTTTGGACCTTTTGGAAGGTATTTAATAAACAATAAATAATAAACGACCTACTTTTCTGAACACAAATTTTTGCAAACATATCCAGACAGCTTCCACTTTGCTCCTGCATTTAAGCATGATTTCCCGTTCTTCTGCCGTTAACAGGCCACCATTTGATACCTGCACGTCTACTGTCCCTGCTAGTAGGCGGGAAAGAGGGCTTGTGGCACAGAGGCACGGCTGTCCGTGTTTACTGGAATGAGAAAAGCCGCTAGGCCTTGGGAAGGAGCCACACGAATCCAGTAGGTAACCAGAGGTCGACGGCATCCCTTGCACACATCCCTGGACATAGCAAGGCTTTGTATCTGGGCTACACAGAGCCCTTCAGAAACACACCACTGCTGAGAGCTCTTTACTCAGTAACTCTATCATCAGTTCCCTGGTCTGGTTCATTTCAAAACATCAACAATGAAAAGGAAATGCATGCCCGTGGCAAAAAAAAATTCAAACAAGCACGAGTGTCTCCTTTCTACTCTTCACCCCCAGTCTCCCTCAGGCCCCCTCCCCAAAAGTAACCACTGTTATTCATTCCTAGCGGAGCCTTCAGATGGTAAAGCCTAGTTACATAAACACGCCTTTTAAAAACAGTAGCAAACTATGCACGCTGAGACTTGCTTTTTCCACTTCACATGTGGACATTTTAAATGGGTGCATATAGGCCTACCTCATGCTTTCAATGACTGCATAATATTCCACTTTTAGATATACTGTCATCCACTGAACCTTGGTGCTGGACCCGAATTTCCTCATCGACACCTTATCCTGCACTGGCAGGTGTGCACAGCAATGCTGCGCAGCACACCACTGGGACAAAGGCTATGCATGTAAAATGTTGATGGGTATCAACAATTTTCCTCCAAAAAAAGTACCCTGATTTATATTTACACTAACGATATATGAGAATCCTTATTCCATTACAATCTCAAATAATATAGAAACACGTGTGTTTTTTTTTAAACCTTTTTGGAAGCTAATGTTGCCAAGAATGGTCATCCTGCATGAAGCTGGTGTCCTCCTATTAAAAAAAAAAAGGGCATCCTTTAGAAAAGACTATTGCTATATGGTGCTCATAGAGCAGCGGTTCTCAACCTGTGGGTCGTGAACCCTTCGGTGGTCGAACGACCCTTTCACAGGGGTCGCCTAAGACCATCCTGCATATCAGATATTTACATTACGATTCATAACAGTAGCAACATTACAGTTATGAAGTAGCAACGAAAATAATGTTATGGTTGGGTCACAACATGAGGAACTGTATTTAAAGGGCCAGAAGGTTGAGAACCACTGTCATAGAGGATGGATAACAAATAATAAACAGGTCATGCTTAGCCTGGGAAAATGTGGTTATAAATGAGGTCACTGTCCTCAGTGGTTTTCAAGTCATTCTCAAAAGATTAGTTGCTTTTGCTTCTTCTCACACTTCACTTTTTGCATTTCCTTTTATAAGGGTTAGATTGGCAAAGACTTAAGAACATGCAGAAATATTTACTCACAATGATAATGTAACCCTTAAAGCTTATTGACAAAGGGAGAAAGGAAAGCGACTGCCTTGCAGTTCTATAAAGACTTGATAAGAAAATTAAGCATAGTTGCTAATAGGTGTGCATAGATTTACTTAACAAGAGTGCAAAATGTGTGGTCAGTCACTAAACGCTAAAATTTGGTCCCAAGATAAACCTCAGATGTTAAAACACTGCCTCTAATCTCTCAATGGGTGAAGCAGAATCCTAATGGTTGCATTTTCCTCACTTCAGGCCAAATTGAAGAACATGTAGCTTATGATCCATGGAGGGAGGCTGACAGAATGACCGCAGGAACTCCGGTGTGTGCTACATGCCGGGGACCCTATGAGTGGGTGATGCCCACTATGGCCTGTCCTTAGCAGCCCTGTTCAGCTCTGCCAACGCCTGCCTGTGGCTTCCTTTATGGAGTCAATCCATCTGGTATTTGATCTTCTATTTTTCTCAGCATTATTGTCTTTTCCAAAGAACCTGCCTTCTCAGGATGTGCCCGAAGTAGGACAGCTTCAGTTTTCTCATTTTTGCCTCCAGTGACATTTCACGCTTTGTTTGCTGTAGGACCCACTTGTTTGTCTTTCTGGCGGTTTAGGGTGTCTGTAGACATTTAACACTGTATTTTACATGAATCCATTTTTTTCTCGCCTGCCTCCTTTGTCCACCTTTCACATCCGTACATGGTAACTGAGACTGGGAGGATGTGGGTGACCTTAGGCTTGGCCTCTGATAGCACATCCTTGTTCCTAGTGATCTCCTAATTCCTCCACTGCCTTCTCTTGGCTGCAGTCTCCATGGGAATTCATGACTGGGCCAAGATAAGCGAAATCTTTCACAATTTCAATGACCTCATTGTCTTTGTTAAAGTTGTGTATTTCTTCTGTAGTCATGATTTTTATCTTTTTGCTGTTCAAATGCAGTCCTATTTTGGCACTTTCATTTTCATCAAAAGTTTCAAATTATTGCTACTTTCTTCCCATAAGATGCTGTCATCTGCATATATTTAGTTATTGATATTTCTTCCACTAATTATCACTTCCTGAGTCTAGCTCAGTTTTTCATGTGACATGTTCTGCCTACAGATTAAACACATAGGAAGATCAGGTGCACCCTTGTCTGACACGTTTGCCTATAGGAAACCATCTATTCCTCCATATTCTGTCCTGATGGTGGACGCATCAGGACAGTCAAGGGCTGATGCACGCTCACTTCCAGTGCAATCTGTAGCTTTGCACAGTCAACGCAGTCAAAGGCTTTACTGTGATCCAGGAAACACAGACCGACCTAAAACTCTTTGGAACACTCCTTTTAGCCCTCATTAAAAGGCAATGATCCGTTCTGTGTGTGCATTTGCTATTCTTGACTCTCTGCTTTCTAGTTCCCGAGTTAAATAAAAAAAAGTTCCAGAAGTGAAAGGAGATGCCATGTGTTGTCTAACCCTTTCACTTTACATACAAATCATGGGCCTTTTTAAAAGGGTAATAACATTGGGCACCCACGACTGCTGGATTTCCACACGTGGCACACATCCCTGCCCAACACAGACATGTTGGTGTGGACTTATTTCAGGAATGCCCAGAAAATCTCACTGAAAGCATTATTAACAGAGTGTGGGCACACTCGTGTATTGACCTTCATTTCTAATGGACACCTGACTCCTGCCACGAAAAGGAGAACCAGGTTAGTAGCCCCTCAAGAGAAATTGGGAATTTGAACATTTGTGAAATATCCCAGTTTTTAAATACTAGCAACTAATTCAAACATTTCTAAAACATTGTGAATAAAATAAGCCTGCCATCAGCAAGTCTCCAATGCATGAGTTATAAATTCAAGAGCCTGAAGCTGATCCCCCTAAACCTTGGAGTTGCCTAGGGGAGACACCAATTATTGTTTATAGAAATACATGTGACCTTGTTGGATACACAAAGAAGAAAATTTAATGGGATAAAAAAATTACACTAAGAGTCTCATCAATTCAATGTTAGTAACACAATTATGATAAACTATTTTAATTAGCCGGATGAGGAAATTGCTAATTGCCTAGGCAGGTTCTCTAGCCATTCTTTGGACCTGTTTAAAGGCAGAAGGCATGCTCCTGCCCAGTCCGCTTGGGGTTCTGCAATCTCTCACACTGGGAAGGCTTCCAGGTAAGCAGGGCCAAAGAGAAGTAAGCAGGAGCAAACTGAATTTTGCACCTCTGAGCTCACATGTTGCCAAGGTCATAAAATCCTGAACTTCTCAGGGGAATAAAGTGTAAGGGTGGCTTTCACAAATATGTGCGGAGGGAAAGATAATGGGTATATATAGAACTGGTCACAGGATTAGAGCCAAGTTATTCTTTTTAAACAGACCTGCTAGAATTTCCATTACAGGGATCAATTTTAACCTCAACTTTGCTTTTTGCAAAGGAAAGTTCACATCTCCCCTGCTCTGTGTGCATGGGCGCTGTTATGCCAACCTGAGAACTTGCAGCCCCTTCCCTGGAAGCATTTGATTCCAGGCAAGTTAGTACCACGAAGAACATGGAACCAGCATAAATGCTGATAACTTGTTTCAGCATTTTTATGTAAGTGAACCAAGAGACTGGCCTTGAAAAAGACGATCACTAGGCTAACAGAAACCCACCACCAAGGTGATCTTGGGAGTGGTGCAAAGCACGCTGGACGCCAGGAGTCAGGAGATCCGGGTGAGGAGACTCACCTCCCTCATTCATTCGAGCAGGTTGAGTGCTCTGACCCAGTTTCCACTCTGTAAAGTGAGAGCCACACCATCACCAAGGTTTCCTTCCAGCTTCAGAACTTGGTGGAGACTGGACTGAATTTTTCAGGTCAGAAAAGTCTTCCCACTCAGCAGTGTCATTTCCCTTTCTTTGTGACTTTCTTTTACCAACATATCTATCTGGCCAGGATTCCAGAAAGGATCCCTCCAAAGACCATGGCTCATGGAGCTGGAAGTTTTAAAGCTGGTGCCTTTTAATGTTAATGCTTGGGATTCTGAGTGAGCAAGAGGTCACACTAAGTTGTGAGCAAGTCTGAAGATTATCTCCCCCCAGAATGCCTGTGCGTCCAGTCAGTGTTAGCCTCGATAATTAGACAGTCTGAAGGCTGCAGCGAGTTGTGTGAAAGGTATCATCCTCCCTCATGTTATTTCTCCCCAGTTACCGGGATGAAAAGGAAGATTTTTTTCTGCATCTCAGAGGGCTGCTATTGGCAGCAATCTTAGCCTGGAATCTCCAAACATGTTGTAAGCAAAGCTGAAAAGGTGTTAACTATATTTAATTAATGTTGGTTCCTAGGAGAGTTGAATTACCAGGTTCATGCCACTTAAATGGCTCTTCTCCAACTCCACCAGGGGTCCAGGTATAGCACCCATAGAGCCGAGTCTTGGGCTGCACTGGCCATGGGGGCTGTCACCCCACCCCACATGCTCCTTGCCCCTTAACAACTACCCCTCATGAACCTCAAAGGTGTTTTCTACAACAGCTCCAAAGCAGAAGTCATGGTAACCAACACAGAAGGCAGCAGTAACAGGATATAGTGACCACCAAGCTCTTACACCATTTCCAGGAACACTGAATTCAGAGTTTAAAGATTTGAGCCCTGGCCAGTTTTTCTCAGTGGTTAGAGCGTTGGCTGTTGCACCGGTGGTTCTTGGGTTTAATCCCCAATCAAAAGCAGATACCTGAGTTGCGGGTTCGCTCCCCTCCCCTGGTCAGGGCGCTTGCGGGAAGCAGCCGATCGGTGTGTCTTTTTCACATCAATTTTCTTCGCTCCCTTACTCCTCCCTCTTTCACTCTGTGAAAATCAATGGAAAAGGTATCCTCTGGTGAGAATTTAAAAAAAAAAAAAAGATTTGAGTAAATCTCTAGCATTCCCACTTCCAGCAATCTGACCTTCAGGCAAGTTATAACTTCTCTTGCCCTTGAATGTAAAATGAGAATATAATCCCCACCGGCTTATTACATGGGAAAATGTTCGTGAGTCAAAAAAACACTAGAATGTGACTCTAACCTTGTTTAGATAGTGAAATAACTGAAAAACATGGTGCTTTTCATAATCCTATAAAGTATTTAGTATATTAAACCTGATACACAGTTTAAGCCCCATCCAATATGGTACCCTAAATTCTACTGTAAAAAAGTAGCAAGATACAAAGTTTTAAAAATGGGAAATTCCTGCCAAAGTGGGGCTAGTCCCACACACCTACCCTAGCTTAGCAGTCAAGGACATTATCCCTTTGCCAACATTCCCACCTCAGCACAGAGGCGGGGCAGGAAGGCCATGGCCATCAAGCTGCCCCGGGGAGGAGGAGATGCTGAGAGCGCTCCGTCTCTCCAGGGCCCCGGGAATGATCAGGTTGCTCCGATGTTCACACAAGACCATCTCTCGACTGAGTAGCCCTGCAGCAATGGAACACCACCTGTGACATCCGTGGACTGCAGTGGTGGGGTGCCACGTCGCACAGCCCGTGGCACAGCTAACATTCAGTCCGGTCTAAGAGAGGAAAGGGAAATAAAAAACTTGAGCACAAAACAGATGCGTCAGCCAGGTAAGCTGCTCGCTGATGGACTGCATCTTCTTCCATTCCTCGCCCAGCCTCGGCCCTGCCTCCCACAGCCCCATCCACTGGGGGCTGACCCCCACCTGGCTTCAGAAGCCTTCCCCACCTTACCCACCAGACAAGCACAGGCTGCGGGCAGAGGGCATCTGGGATCTGGTGCCAGGGAGGAGCCCAGGTGGCTGGAGCTGGACGACTTGAAGGTGTCGCAGACATTGGGCCAGTGTCCTTCTCAGGAGTTTGGTCACAAAGGATGTACTCTTTCCACTTGGAGGATGTAGGGACAGTCATTGGATCCTCTCCCCTTCTCGGGCAGCTTGCCTGGCCTCATGCTCTCAGTGAACCTTCAGTGCCCTCAAAGACAGTGGCAGGGTCTCAGCCAGAAAGTTCACAAGTGAGGGTGCCAACAGGTGACCCCAGAAATGGGCCTTGGGCCAAGGGAGCTTTCCCTTAAGATGCAGTCCTGAAGGCCACATGGCCATTGGCCAGGGCAGCTCTGCCGCTTTTCCCTCCACCCCATCTTGTATGTATTCTAACCAGGAAACACAGCACATGGGTAACCTGGGCAGTGGGGGCATACCCCAGACGTCCTCTTTTAGCAAGTGTCTATATGTGTTGTGGTTATTTTACATGTTCTTGAATGTATATATTTCAGAAAACCGCTACCATTTCACACATACACACACGATTGACAGCTTAAAACCTTATACAATTTTAATGATAATGGTCTATCATTAGAACACCATAAATCTGTGGGAACAGAGCCCCAAAAAACAGCATGCTATGGATTCAAGCTGTCCCTACTACTATACAAATATGCATGAGGCTTTAATATTTCTCATCAAGTGACATTTCAAATATGACTTGAAACAAATTCAGTGGACTGGCAAAGCCTTTTATACAACCAGTACCCATTACCCCAAGATCAATTATTACAATGGAAATGTGGGACTGGTGCCACCAGCCAAGGGCAACTTCAGTGAAGTCAACCCTCCATTATCATTTATTTGAGCAAAAGTGAGCTGCTAACAAGAAACCAATCATGTGGCTTAAACAATAAAAACATTGATTCCTCTTTCACGCAACAGTTCAATACTCCATTTGGTCAAGAAGGGATCCAGGTTCCTTCCATCTTGTCCTCTGCAATAAACCAAGGCTGGGTTGTTATTGCTTCAATTTTGGGAAGGGATAAAAGAGAGCATGGAGGAGGCATATCTATTGTCCTAAGGGTCCCAGACCATAAGTAACAGTACTTTCACTCAAATTCCATATGAGAGAATGTAGTCTAACTTGGTCACACCTAACTACAAGAAAAGTAAATACAGTCCTAATGAGGCAGTTAAATGACTCAATTTTGACTCCATTACCATGGAATAAGGAGATAATATATTCTAACTACCTTAGTTACTAGCCTCCCTTTTTTTGTATCACTGAGTTGGGTAACATCAGTGCTCCCATGAGAACTGGTAGGAAGGAGATGATAAATGTACTGTGCTAACCCACAAACCTTGGTGTGGCCAGGAGAAGGTGGTCGTTAGGGGAGCTCCAGGTGTCAGCCACAGCAGCATTACAGCTGTGCAGCCACCTGGGTGGCCAGCGTCCTGCAACACTGAATCCTGTCCACCAAGAATACTTCAGGATGGTCAGACCACCATCTCCAAAATGTTTGCCAAAGAACTGTCAGTCTTGGAGTTCAGGACTATTGGCAGGAAGCTCTGAAAGGAAGCTGAAACCACTACATAATATTTCGGCAAGGTAGCAGAGTCCTTTCTTAAGGGGATCTGGCCTCCCCTTCCTTCAAGAGGTTCTGCGTCTATGAACTGGCTCAACGCTAGGAAGTGGCTGAGAGTGTATGAGAAATCAACATTTTTGGCAAGAATAAATAAATACAAAAGTAGTATTTTCAAACCTCATTGTTAAGTAGGAGAGAAAGGACAAAGTTATAAGCATTCAAAATTCTTCACATTCTGCTCTCATCCTACCCTTTTCTACATTCGTCTCCTACATCTTCCCCAACCAGCTTCAATCCCTATACTGTCCCTTCCTTCTAGACTTCTAATACTTCCCTTTTCTGCTGGAATAAGACCCAGGTGTTCAATTTCACTTCTTTTGTGAAGTCTCAATAAATGTGAATCCCTAAAACATCCCAAAGGATGCTAGGAACTGGGGTCACAAAGACAGCATGGTTCCAGAGCCCTCCAGAGGTTACTACAAAGATGTGGGATTTTAATCCTGCAGTTCTCTGAGACCAGGCTCATAATTACACACCCACTGAGCACGACTCTGGGCTTGACTTTATGTTTAACTGCTTTCTCAGATATCAAGACTCCCTATGACACCAAAGATAGTAATACTTTCTCAATTCTCAAACTTCCTCCATCCTGCTGAGTGGATGAACTGAACAGTAAGGAGTAATCTTGCAGTAGAAAGGAAGAAAAATCTACATTTTAGCAAAACACTTCAAGCCCATTAAAAAGAAAAACGACAATCTGATTATTTAAACCTAGTTGCTTTATTTTGTACTTTTCAAATTCACAAAAAGCTTCACAATATCTGCTTTCCCCTTTTGATCACCAAGGCTTTATAAGACAATGAAAATGTTATCACATCAGCTGGGCAGACTCACAAACAATGGATAATTTACAAACACATTTTTTTAATGAAGAACATTTTGCAAAATACACATGCTGGTACACATCTGAATTTATCCTAAAATTAGACTTTAAAGCTTAAAGAAAAAAACAAAAAAACACAGATTTAACACTGACAAACCTACCAGAATAAAGCTGGTGGCAAGCTTATTATAAACCGCTTTAATGTTTAAATGTTATCTGTTGAACCTACATTTAAATGCATTTGAGTAAAAGTCCTATAATTTAATGAATTTCAAAAAAGTGAACAACTCTTTTGCCTCCATGGTAGTTTCTCAAGTTTATTTATTAAATTGTGACATCTCGACTAAGGAAAATGGATCCTGGAACTACAACACTGAAGGAGAAGAAACACATGGGGACAGGGGAGAAACAAAATCAGTACTTTTATTCTTTCTACGGTGATTGTAACAAACAAAATCATTGCTCATTTTAATAAAGGATACCAGAGATGATATGTGGGGTTGAGTTTTGGCTATGTACAACATCTAAATGGCAATAATTAAAATTCAAGGTATTATATAGGAAACTTAAGAAAATAATTGTTGCCTTCAATTTTAAATTTGTGGAATGGCATAATACATTTTTTGACGTACCTATTATAGGATCTGCTAAAATTATTTATATTATTTCCACATTTAATAAAATGTTTATCTACGCTGGGTAGCTGTTAAGATAGTATCAATAAAGGCCACTAAAAATGATGCCAGAATTCAGGTGAGAAGAGTGGTAATGGAAAGAGGATGGGAGGATAATGATACTGGGTAGTAATAACAAACATAATTTTTAAGGTTTCCTAACTAATGCTACAAAATTACATATTTTGGCTAAATGCCTCTGGACAGCTGGAAGTGATCAGGAAATGAGTGGAATATCCTAATCGTCCCAGTTAGATTCCTAACTAACCTGTTATTTGGATGGCTAGCTCATAAAGGATGGTTTCCACAGACTGCTTGGTGAAATGAAAGGTCATTGTGCCAGGCTTATTACCTACTCTGCTTTGTTTCTTCCAAGAACACTTTTGAAGGGTTAAGAACCCCTTAGAAAAGCAGCAAAAGAAAGAACTTTTTAGAATACAAAGAGATTAACAAAGACATAATCGTAAATAGTTTAATTATGGATATGTTACCGGTCTTCATTCTTGAGATAGGGAATATGGGCCAATGGAAAAAAAAATGTAGCTCTACTACTGCCTCAAATTCTAAATTTTTATCTTTCAATCAGAAATTTTAAAAGAAATTTAAGCTTTAAAATGGCCCTCATCTTTCATCTCAAATTACCTATATATGATGTTGTCTAAGATACACACAAGAATTTCAGGATTATTTTCATAGAAGACATTAATTTAGGTTCATTTACTTAGAAAACAGGATTTTATTGTGAGGTGTCTTTTAAGAGATTTAAGTGCTCCAGTTACCGCAATGAAAATTTATACTCAAAGCAAATATTCTCTAAGATACCAAGGTATTCAGTATATAGTGGGGCCTTGACTTACGAGTTTAATTCGTTCTGAGACCGAGCTCGTTAAGGAGCTCTTTAACTCAAATTGCTCTATCATCTCAATGCAAAAAATCGGCCGAGAGACAGCTGGTATCTCAAAAAACTCGTTAGTCGGGACACTTGTAAGTCAAGGCCCCACTGTATTTGCATCTTATACTTAAACATATTAAAACTTACAAAGCCTAAGATAAGCAAGCAACAAGTCAATAAGATCACAACTTAGAATTCTAACATTTTCACATGGTATCAATGACTATGAAATGCAAAAATCTTATAAATGTTTAAGTGGAATGATCTCTAAAAATTACACTAGTGTGACCAAACAAATGATCACATACTATGGAAGACTATAGCACATGAATAAGTACAGGAAAGCTGTTCTCCAGGACTTGAAACATTACTTGACCCATCATTTTAGAGGGGGGGAAAAGGTAAGTAATTAATTAGAAGGCTCTACACGTAGATAAAACAAATTCTAATTAAAATATCTTAAGACTATTTTAGATGTTTATTTGATATTGGAATTGTGGTCAACTATCATAAAGTATTTCTCTCCATCAAAAAAAAAAAAAAATCCATATTTTAAGGATTTACACAATCCAGTGGGGGAGAGGGACTATCTAGTACCCTTTTTTTTTGGCCTGAGCAAGTAAATTTTTAAAAAGGCTCTCCAAAGTCTTGACTAGCGGTGTCATACTCTGCAATGAAATGCTTGAGTTCTTCCACACACCGCTCGCCTATTTCATGTAAATTCTGTCTCAATGCAAACTGTATGGACTTTTCTAATGAAGGATCTTTTTCAATCAGCATCTTCACAACCATCCCAAAAGTTTCACAGTCTTGTCGGTAAACCTAGAAAGATGAGATACACTGTGGTTAGCTGAAAGTGAAAATAATTAGTCAAAGATTGAGCTGGTTCAGTTGGCAGAATTATGATGCTACAGTTCAAAAGGGAGAGAGAAATATAACTGAACCTCTGTCAGCCCTAAGTAGTCACTAATTGCCAAAGGCCATTTAAACCTATATTTTTAAGGTTTGCTGACAACTTCGATGAGTAGGAAAACACTGCTATACCCCATCACTGACTACCGAAGTTAGGCATGACTTTTGTCAGCATAAGGCAGTCTACAAAAAGGAATTCAGACTAAAGGTGAGAAGAACTAGGAACAAAAGAGTAGCGAGGTAAGGCACATTAATGGATTTATTCATTTACTTGTTTGGAAGAAAAAAGTTTCTGAGCACCTAACTTCTGATCATTTGAACAATGACCAGATGACAAATTCAAAATTCTGTTAGTATACAACAAACAACTATAAGAATGCCAAAAGTAACTATTTGAAAAAAATTTCCAAGCTATAAATATTTAACTATACAGTCACCAAGGTAGAGTGTGCACACACGTGTATATATAAATCCATACATATTACATATATACATGTGTATATATTTTCTACCTCAGTGTTTATATTTTACTTTAATTACTATATATAATTTTTACCAGTGGCAATTAGATGGTTATTTCCTGTCCAAAAATTGCTGTTTCCTCCATACTATTAAGAAAATGTCATTTCCTTAATTTGTAGTCACAAAATACATTTTAGATGTCTATGTTATTTTTCATACTTTGTTATTTATGCATTTAGAGAAAAATTATAGTTAAATCTCCATGAAAATTAAGTGAAATACAAATTATCCTTTTTAAAAGAACTATTAAATTAATTTTGACTTTTCTAAATTTAACAAAAACAATTAATATAACATGTTTATTCTCTGAAAAAGAATTTTGTTCATTTAGAAAACTTTAGAAAAAACCCATTTGAGATAATGCTTGGCTTGTGATAGTGTTTACTCCTCAAATGATCACTGCTAGCTGTGGTTGTTGCTGCTGTATTTTTAAAATGTCTGCAATGCTTGATTTCTTAAAAATAAATATTTAAAGAATATTTGATTTTGACTCTCACTAATAGGTTGCTAAATTATATTCAATTCATGTCCTTGCTCTTGAAAACCATCCATAAACCTCAAGAAAATTAATAGGATAAATTCTTCAAATGACAGAGAAATTAAAATATATAAATCCCTTTGCTACTTTCTCCATTTCAGGGTGTGCATATGCACACCCCACACACACTTTCGCTAAATAATGATGAAATTTACTTATAATAATAAGTTTAATTCCAGCTATTTAAACCAACCATTTATTCCAGTTTATCCTAAGATTTACATGACCCAGAATTGATAATACTACTCTAATAAACCAGCACAGAAAACAGTATACCGTTCACATACTATAAGTGATGTCAAGGCAACAGAGCACATTAACTGCTCTAACAAACACATAGTACCCAAGTCAAGCCAATGCAGCCCCCATGGGGGGGAAGCCAGAACCATGATGTTTCATTCTTAGTGGAGGTAAATTCCTTACCAAACCAGTCAGCCCACATAATAACAGCATTCTAATGCCAACCACAGGCCTCAGCAGACCACTTTGTGGGTGGCCTAAATTTTATAGGCTCCTTTATAACAGATGTACTAGATGAGGATAATGTTACACTGTGAATTAACCTGCAAATTCTTTAATGTAAATCTGCTGTTTTACCTAAACTCTAACTCTTCATTTAGCATATTTACAGAACATAAATGTGCTACAGATGTGCATATCAAAAGTAAAACCATATTAAAATGTGTTCATACATTTATTTAAATTGTAAACTACTATCACTCTGGAGACAAGGTAATACAAGCATTTAAAGATTATGTTTTATTTTTTAACTTTAAGTCCTTTCTGAATTATTCATTGAAATAGACAAATATTATACATTAGTTAAGAACAATCAGAACTGCCCAAAGCAATGTAACCCTCTACTAAAGGGTAAATTTTCTAAAGAGACTGCTTCAAATACACTAGTAGGCCATTAGACAGGAAATAATTAGTTTTTTGTTAAAGGAAGAACCACACCCTCCAACATTTTATAAATAAAATTCACAACTGTCAGAAACCTATTTCCGAAATCTGTTCCACAGTAAACTCAGTCCCAAACAGGAAGGGTGTAGTTATCTGTAGGAGAGTTTGTTTGCTTATGGTCCCTAGCTGGAAATGCATTCTAATCTTCAGATTTGATATCTACAGGCCACACAGGAAGATTATTTTGTTGCTGCTTTTCCTCCTGATTGGAGTTCATCAAAATGGGAAACAGGTTAAAGTTTGGGTGGGGTTCACATAAACTGCAAGGAAATGTAGTTAAATTTGCCAGTATAATAAAAACACTATCCAAATGTGGTTTCACACAGTCCTTTATTATAGTAGCCTGTGTTAATAAATTCTCATACAGTACTTCTAGGAATAAAGGAGTATGATAAAATAAACTACCAAGGCATTTTACTATTAATTATGCTTCTGGTGATTGGAAGAAGAGCATCTGGCCAAACAAGCTCAATGGCAAGCTTGTTCTATATCTAAAATACCTGTAATAACATAAACCACCTCTAAAATGTGTATTATTTTAGGCCTCAACTCTGATGCCACAAATAGAGAAACTAAAAATTAAGACCACCTGAATTGTTAGAATTTTCATTTCAGACAAGTTTTCTTTAGCATTAGCATCCCACTGATGTCTGAGAAGTCTGATGGAATGTCTGAGGTCAGAGTTGTGCTATCTAATACAGCAGCCAACTAGCCACAGGAGGCTACTAAGTTTGAGTATGTATGCATATACTTACCTTAATATTTAATTTATAATTTAGTTTATATTAATGTTAGGAGGTAACTGGTTAACTGCAAAAGTGAGGCATGCACACAGCCTTAAAAAGCTGGGGAATCAAATAAAAACAATTATTTTCTCTATTGTTGATGCCTCATCATTCTATATATTTTCCTTGATCTGAACTCATTTGGTTCAAATGCTGTATGTCCTGTGACCATCCTAGTTGGAAAGGTAAACACAGACAATTAAAACAAAGCATAAAGGAGACATTTAGATGTTGAAGGTGGTATTGAAGTTGGATAAAACAGAGAAGCAGTTCCATGAATAGGCTTATTGAGTTCAAATCCCGACTCCACTACTTCGGGAGGCTGAATAATAATGCCACCTACCCCACACCCAAGATGTCCAGACCCTAAACTCTGGAACCCATGAGGATGATACCTTACAATTCAGTGGTTCTCAACCTTGGCTGCACATTAGAATCACCTGGGAATCTTTTAAAATCCTGATTTCTGGGCCTCATCCTCCGGAAATTCTGTTTCTTTGTTACTAATGTTGTGGCCCCACCCCATAACAAAGAAACAGAATTTCCGGAGGATGAGGCCCAGAAATCAGGATTTTAAAAAGATTCCCAGGTGATTCTAATGTGCAGCCAAGGCTGAGAACCACTGCCTTACATGGTATAAGGGGCTTTGCAGATGGGCTTATGTTAAGGATTTTGAGTTGGGGAGATTATCCTGGAATATCCATGTGGGGAAAATGTAATCACAAAAATCATGTAAACAAGAAATGCAGGAGCACCAGGGGAAAAAAAGGAAATGTGACCACAGAAATAGAGGTGGAATGATGAGCTTTAAAGATGGAGGAAGGAGCCACCAGCCAAGGAATGAGGCAGCCTCTAGAGAACCGACAAGGCAAGGAAGCGATTCTCCCCTGGCAACTCCAGAGGAAGTGCAGCCCTGCAGACACCGTGGTTTGGGCCTGGAGAAACCCATTTCAAGCTCTGCAGGTTTTTTCAAGCTCACATGGAATATTTACCAGAATAGACAACATCCTGCAATCATAAAACACACCTTAACAAATTGAAAAAACAGAAATCATATACTGTATGCTCTCAAACCATAAAGGAATTAAATTAGAATTCAACAGAACGACAGGTAGAAAAATCTCAAAATATTTGGAGATTAAACAACACACTTCCAAATAACACAGAGATCAAAAAAGTCTCAAGAGAAATGTAAAAATATTTTGAACTAAATGAAAATACAACTTATCAAAATTTGTGGGATGCAGTAAAAGTAGAGCTTAGCAATTTATAGCATTGAATGAACATTAGAAAAAATAAAGATATAAAGTTAATATTCTAAACTAGAAAACAAGAAAAAGAGTAAATTAAATGCAATGTAAGCAATGAAACTGAAAGCAGGAAATTAGAGAAATCACTAAACCTAAAGCTGATTCTTTGAAAAGATTTTTTTTAAAAAGCAATAAACCTCTAGCCAAGCTAACCAAGACAAAAAAGAGAGAAGACACAAATTATTTAATATCAAAATTGAAACAGGAGTCATCACTACTGACCTCATGGACATTAAAAGGATAATAAAGGAATATTAATAACTCTCTGCCTAATTTGATAGCTTACATGAAATGCACCAAGTCCTAGAAAGACACAGTGTCCAAAACTCAGACAAGGATAAATAAAGCATCTGAATAGGCCTATATCTATGAAAGAAATTGAATCAATAATTGATAAATTTCCCAAACAGAAAGCACTAAATGATTTCACTGGTGAATTCTACCAAACATTTAAGGAAGAAATTATACTACTTCTCCACAATCACTTCTAGTAAACAGAAGCAGAGGGAACATTTCCTAACATTCTATGAAGCCAACATTACCCTATTACCAAAATAAGACAAAGACATTAGGAAAGAAAATTACAAGACCAATGTATATATATATATATGCTAATATGCAAAGTGTCCCCTCGGGAGTTTGACTGGGAAACCTGGAGTTCAATCGCTATGACGTGTGCTGACCAACAGGGGGCAGCGCAAAATGAAGGAAGGTCCCGGCTGGCATCTGGCAGCCAGGGAAGCAAGGCCTTGATCAGCCCTGATCGCAGGCCAGGCCTAGGGGACCCTACCT